GCATCATTGATAAGTTTTGTTTTCTTTTTCATCATAAATTACATTTATTTCATCAGATGATAAATAATAGAACCATGAACTCATGATGATTGTGATTGAAATCTCAATTTGAATTGGAAAATTTGTTTTTATTATTTTCTTTTCTTTTCCATAAAGGAATACATTTTATTACATAGTTATGAACCTTTTCATGTTTACACATGATTCTTATCATGATATATTCATCATGATAATTTATATATCACCAGAAGATAATGTTTAATATTATTGATTTATTATTATCGTTATTATTGTTATATCAACATGTTGGTGAAGTAAAATGAGCAGACCTGGATTCATATTCATTGGGTACATGATATGAATTGTTTTCTGTTTACTCATCGATTTCAATTCATCGTCATGAATGTAACCTCAAGGCTTATTCATCATGAATTTGTATTCCATGATCAATACAAATTCCAAAGATTGACAAACGAATAGAAAAGAATCTGAATTGCAGATGATGAAACGAAATTGATTTTCGGTTAATATTATATTGAACTCTTATTCTTGGTAATCAATTAACTTTCAATCAATTGACATGATTAGAAGGCGATGTTGATCAACTATCATGAGTTGAATCAATTGTTGCTGAATTATCATGATTCAGAGAATAAGTTTGGAATTCTATTCTAACATGAAAACTCTCTCTCTCTCTCTCTCTCTCTCTCTCTCTCTCTCTCTCTCTCTCTCTCTCTCTCTCTCTATAACTTCCTCTTTTCTTATTCTGATAATATTCCAACTTTTCATGTTACTATCGATTTACTTTCCAACTTATATTTCACTTTGTGCTCAATAAACTCGATCCTTTCAAGTTCAGTATTTGATCATGATGATGATGATATTTGAAGATTATCATGAAAACACAACAACAATAGATGAGAACTGATTCCAAGTAACTGATTATTGATGAAGAAAATGATTTAAAGATATTGATAAAAAAGCTCAGAGTCAATACGATGGAAAATGAGATTAACGTACGATAAAAAGATAATCCTTTATTCAATAGAAAAGAAGCAAAATTTAATCCAATATGATCGGGGAATAATTTTTTCTCCGGATTCACTCATAATGTTATTCCTCTCCAGATGATCAACACCGAAATCAGTTGATTCCGTTGCCAGCAATTTGTAAACCTCTTTATCCGGTTCACCTGAAACACTTGAGCTTTTTACATTTCATCAAGATTAATTGTCTATTACCTTTAATCATATTCCAATTTCAAGAGATAGTTAATCAAGTTTTAATTACAAAATGATGATGATAAGTAAAAACCATGGCAACAGAATCAGAAAGAGATGAAAACTATCGTAGATATATTTTCATTTTCATGATGAAACTCAAGTTTTACCTGAAACTCAGATTAACATGCAACTATCAATTGTTTCAACTAGAATATATTGTAACATTTACTGATTAATGATTAGCTGTTCCAATAACAATTATGTTAAGATTGGTTTGTTAATTAGCTCCGGTAATGAGATGATTAACTTTTTTAATTTTCTTCCACCTCACTCATGGTAATCTAAATGGGTGAAAAGTAAAAACAAAATCTAATCCAATATTGTGCGTTGAATTGGATTAATCCGCTTTCATTGAATTAATTAACATTTATACATATGATAATTAAGAATATAATAAGGGAACAAACAAATTTAAACTGAATTAACTTTAATAATGATCAAGTTTAATCTTGACATTTAAACAATGAACAACCATTGAGGTTTTTGTGGTTTTTTTATAGTGAAAATTTCTGGACAGAAAAACTTGTTGACAATTAATATTGTTACTTTAATGTACTAGTTAATTATGGTGAGTTGTGAATACGGAAAAAAATAAGAGCTCGATTTGACTCGATTCCAAGGTATTTTGTCGAATAGAGTAAAAAAACAAAGTTTAAAAGTAAAGTTCTAATTGTCGAGTTTAGTTGGAGCATTTTGGTGATTTGCTCGAGTTCTAATCACATGTAAATTCACACATTGTCTCTGTGTATTTCTTAACTAAACCATAAAGAAGAAAACAACAAAAAAAACCTGAAGCCTTTCAAACTACATAAATGTAACGGTAAATTTGAATCTAATTGCTTTAGGTTATTATTAGTTCTTGTTGCTGTTGGGTGGGAGGAGGGGGAGACGGAAGTTGATAAACTTTTTGTTCTATTTTCAATTTCTATGAAAATAGATTTGTAGAGAAGAGAAAGAGAGCGAATTGACAATGACAATTGACTGAAGAAAGACAATAGAATGTTCATTCCAGAGATTTAAAGCTTTCTGATTTTACTTCCGTTTCCTTGTCTAAGGAATAGACCCCAAGTATCTTATTCATCCGCATCCAATTTAACTGTTTCTCCATCATTAGTAGTCAACAATTTAAATAATTTTGAGAATGGACTTCAAAAGATGGACATTACATTCAAAAATAGCCGCTTCTCTATTTCTACCAAACTGATGATGTTAATGATTAGTTAATGATGATACAATTCAAATTGATAGTTCTAATATTTTTCCTTGAGTAAACAGTTAGATAATTAAGTGGATCAATAATTCAATAACAATCATGTTAGCGTAAAGATGATAAACTATTGGTTCATTATCGTTACCATTTATTATTATGATTAAACATTAAGTTCATTAATATTTGTCTCTCACCATCATTATCAAGAATCATGAGGAATCCATTAAATGTTCATTAAGATTAAAGTGAAAAATTCAACTGATTCAGAAAAGTTAAATAAACTAAGTATGATGAGCAGATAATTATGAATTTTAATTGTTCCTTGATCACTATTAATCATGAGGATGAATAAAGTTAAAGTTCGTTAATTGTTTGAAACAATTTCTTCATTTTAAATCGATAACTTTTCCCAAGTTCTAAGTTGGTTTTAGATCTTTATTACGTTGATTTTAACCTAAGAGATTGATTGATAATGGTCATCTGAAAAATGACCATGAGGCAGTAAAAGCAATAGTTACAAAGGGTAATCCCAAAGAAATAGATTGATGGAAAATCTCATAAACCGCAACCATGGAGATTAAGGCGACTGTGAATAGATTATGTTAATTTGTAAGTGAGAAAGAAAGTTTCATAATAATTAATCAGAATCCGATTGTTATTATCGGCGAGAAAATTACATGATCGATTATTATACAATAATGTGATTAGCTGAAAACTCAAGTCATGATAATCGGTTGATTGATTCATGAGAAGAGCTTTAATAATCAGTATATACAAACTGAAGATCTTTCAGGAGAAAGGAAAAAAAGTTCAAACTGGATTTGATAATCTATGAAATTTCATCAGGTTATCAAGTTCAAGATTCATTCTATTATAATTACTCAGTTTTCATGACAGAATTTTCTTATCAAGGTAACTCAATTTTGAAGAAACAAAAATTATCACAACATATTCTCAATTCACAAGGCACGGGGATAGATTTTTAATGAAATGGGTGTGGTTAGAACTTTTTTATCAATCGAACCCTTTTGTCCTCATGATAAAGTTACAAACAGATGATTGATCGTCATGATTACCATCATCATAATCATCAACAGTCTCATCATCATTTCATCTGCAACAGAAAAGCATAACACCCAAACCCTTTTTTTATCTTTATTCAAATTTTTTTCTTCTATCCCTTCGAGCATCTTTACATCTTCGGGTTGGTATTTTTTTCCTCTCTCTCTCTCTCTCTCTCTCTCTCTCTCTCCTTCGATTAAACCTCATCAGCATCAGCATCTTCATCTCCATCATCATGTCACACTCATCATTGTCTTCTTTCATTCTTTTCTCTTTTTTTATCATTCTCTTTTCTTCTGAACTTACCTACTTTCTATCTTCTTCATGCCAAGATAATCTCATCAAAGTGATTTCTATTCATCAAGCTTCTTAAATAATTCTCCTCCTTCATCTTCATCCTTATCAAGTCTAAACCTCAACATCTCTTTCTCATCATCTTTATCTCTTCATTTACAACTAATTACTTTGTCTTAGGAAGATGAAAGTTTTTTTTTCTTTGCTTCTTCTTAATTTAGTCTTTTCCTGTCAGCGGTAACTTGATATAACCTGATGAAGAAGAAGATGATGAAGATGATGATGGAGATGATCAGGTTTGATGATGATGAAAGTGGATGAAGATGATAAAAAACCATTGACATCTTAATGTTATCAGGTTGATATTTAATAATATCTCAAACAAAGAGCAGTTTTTCATTGAGAAAACTTGGAAACCCTAAAAGTTTTTTTTTCGCAACGAAATATCTTCTTACTCGACTTCTTCTCAAAATCTTTTTCAAACTTTTTTTTTCTTAGTTCGAACGAAACTTTTTTCTATCTTTTATATCATATGTTCATGATTTCCATGGTGTAGTGATGAATCCTTTCAATGGGTTGAGTTAATTAAATATTAGACAAAAGGTCTTGATTATGATCGAAAAAGTTTCAACTCTACTCTGTCAGAACGATAATAACAATAGATCCAGAATCAGGGTAAGTTAATATGAATGGAAAAGGAAATCGAGTAAATAAATAATATAATCTCGATAAATTTTTCCTTTTCTTTGCTTTTTATGTCTACGAGTAAGATAAAGTTCTGAATAAGTTCCGGTTTCGATTTTTTCTCCTCAAGATAATCCAGATATTCTGATAGACATTGAATATTGAAATGGATTGATGATAAAATATGATTCATGATGTTAATCTGAATTATTAGTTTATATTATTATCATGACGACGAACGTAAATTGTGATAAATAAATAACATGTTCAGATTCATGGTGATATTAATGATTGTTGACATAATAATATTACAAATGAATGTTTAATCATGATTATCAACAATACACCAGAAAATGAAAATAAATGATCATCTTTGAGCTTTGAATCAATTTCCAGGGTGAAAACTTTTAATCTGAATATCTGATCAACATAAATGTAGATATTTAAATAGATATTGTAAAACTTACCTGATTGTTGTGAAAATTGATTTAATTGCTGTTGATTTGATTGGTATTGTTGGGCCTGTTGTATCACTTGACCCCTGCTGTTGACCATTATCATTGATAATGTTGAATAAAGTAAACACAGATAGTTGATTGAGTTGAACAATTGAATTAACATATTAACCTAAACAATTTAATCTAATCTCCAAAATCAATCAAAAAGATCAGTTTTAATCCAACAATTAGTACTTAATTGTAAGTATGAGGGACAATTCAATGAAAGAAGGAGAGAGAGAAAGAAAAACAAATCAATCCAGTGATTAAGATGATTGAGCCAAGTAATTAGGGTGATAATCAATGATTAAGATGATTGTGGTTATTGAGGTGATGATGTTAATCCTGTTTGATGTAACAAAAAACAATGATGATTAGTTGATGATTATGATGATTAGATTGTGAGACTAAAACTATTGATTCACAAAAAAATTGATTGTCGTTCTATGTTGACTTATTGACCAGTGGTCAATACTTTTCTCAGCATTCTCTTAGCTACTTATTATATATTCTGATGAAACCAATGTTGATGAAATTCAGAAAGAGAGAAACGATTTTTTTTTCATGATTTGAAAAGTTCACACCGGTGGTAAAACTTAATCTCAATCATCTGAACATTTTTGTTTTTCTTTCTTTTCTCCTCCTCTTCTTCTCTCTCACTTTTTCTGTCAGCATTCTCGTTAAATCCTCATCAATATCGATATGATATATTACTTGGAACACCATCTCACGAGTTGGAGGTTAACTAATTTCAGAATTTAATTCTAACTCAACTGAATCGATTATCATCTGGTAATCGTATCCATAGATATTTTGACTTTCGATAGATCGAGTGAAGTTCTAGACTTTGAGTAAATTCCAGATCAATTTTCTATTTCATCTACTCAACTTTAGATGGAGACACTCCAATGATCCTCAACAAATAACCGTTAACTTGATATGATTGAAGATCTGTCAATATTATCAGTTAGTTATTCTTAGATTATTTTAGTCATAAACGGTTGATAGTGAATAATTATCGATAATAAAAGATAGTTAAACTTTATTATCAAGTAAATTTGACTTAATTGTTATGATTACAAGTCTAGAAAAGCACATAATCAATAAATTACAATCTATGCTACAGGTGATGAAATTGATTGGGGGAAATTGAAACAGAAATAAAATAAATAATCCAACTACTTCCGCTTTTATAAGACGAACACTCAATATTTCAACAAATGTTTACAGAATTAAAGTTTGATCCATTGATTGAAAGGGCTTCCGGAAGTAAGAGGATTAAGTGATGATTAGTATTGGAAGAAAAAGAAAAAGAAAATCAGGAGAAAGAAAGAGAGAGAGAGAGAGACAGGAAAGTGAGAGTTTTGAACTTTTCCGAAAAGATATGAAAATTTTTTCATGAGAAACATTTACTTTTATTTGACACTCGATATTCAGTCAATATCTTAATATAATATTCTTGAGATGGGAATCAGAGGGAGAGAGAGGGAAGGTTACAATCGATATCACTTGATACATTATCTAATAAGGAACCAGGTTAAAAGCATAGACACTAAGGATGTAAGGTGAATATGTGACGATCCAGGCCAACAGATTATAATAAATGTATTCTGATAACGTGAGCATTTGAACAGCTTATGACCAGAGGTACTTGTGGCTCCTCCTTGCATGGCTGCTGGATTTTCACCGCCGTTCAGTACGTGGACATGAATCAAAGCGGGTTTAGCATAATGAGACGGAAGTGAGGTTGATGTTAGCCTACAGGTATAGTTACCTGAATCGGATGAGGTTGCACTAGAAACGAAAAGGTTTGAGGCCATAACCCGTGTTCCAGTGGTAGTATGAGTATTAATTGCTGAAGGTGAGGTTGAAGTTAAGGAAAAGGGTGGAATTATAACTTGAGAATTAGTTAATTTAGCTCCTCGTCCACGAGAATCATAATTAATTATCTGATCACTATGTTGCCAAATTATGAATGAATTGGATCCAGGTTCAGGTATGTAGTTAATTATACAGGTTATGTTTATATTAGCACCTTTTTTAAGATACAAATTTGCTCCTTCGGTGATGATGGTTTTCAAGGCTAAAAATTTAAAGAAATAGAAACAGAAATTTAGATTGACTCAGGAAATAAATATTATCATGTACAGAGTATAAAGTTCATACAGTCAACAATTATTAATAAGATGATTAAATTGATTATAACTAATTAATTGTGATAAAATGAATTCATAAACAACCTTCAATCATTTCAATCATTGAATCTCACTTGTATACACATGAGACTTTATTATTTACTGTTATTATATTTTTCTAACTAAACGATAACAATTTAAATTGATTTTGAAAAAGTCAATTGGAAAACTTTTTGTTCAGCAAATGATTATTATCGTTATCATCATGGTTACTGAGGAACAAAGGAAAAAAGTGAAAGGAAAAGGAAATGGTTGGATATTGAACTAATATCTTTTCTGAATTTCTAAAAAGGGAGAGAATAGAATGAGAAAAAGTCAACATTAAGTTTAATGAGAGATGAAATTTCGAATTACGAATTTTCGAATAGAAAGCAAAAAAAAGTAAGAGAAAAAGTAAGAACTTTTTTTCGACCTCTACCCTGAAAGTCCATTAACATTATTGACCAGCAAATGACCGACACACAATTCATAATGATATCTTTTCCCTCTTTGAAAAGGTTGTTGAGATTGGAACTCATGATAAACAAGAGAAAGAGAGAAAAATTTTACACTAACATTTAGATTTAGAATTGAATTTTCCTCAAATAATAATAACATTCTCTTCAGCATTTCCTGGATTTATTTACTTTTACAACTTTTCTCTGGTTTGTTGTGCAACATCATCATTATGCAGATAAGTTAAATCATTTTAACCTTACCCTCTGTAATCCACACTCTAAATCTACATGAATACAAAGATATCATCAACATGATAATCACATGGGATAAAATTTTGGAACCACAACAATTTGAATAAAATTCTGATTGGAAACGGAACCAGAATCAACGTTTACAGTTAATGAGACTCATTTATTATCATAAAATATTCAAAGAGTAGGACAGTTCAATTTAATTTCATCATCTATTTACCTCGAGGATTAAACTTAATCTAAGGTTATTACTGAGCTACAGAGTCTCAATCGTTTAATGATAATAATAATAATAATAGTTTCAAGTTTTTCAACAACAACAAACTCACAGAGTGTGATATTTATGCATCTAAAATAGGATAGCAAGAATGTTACAGTAAAGATTATTCTCAAGCAACAGAAAAACTCTATGAAAAGTTATGATATCAAAAAATTCCGCGGAAAATCCAACGAAGCGACAAATAGTACGAACAAAATCTGAGCACTCGTTCAGATGAGAAACTTTGGCCCAAAGTTATTAATATCGAAAGAGAAAAAAGCAAGATTGTTGCTATTACTTTTCTTACTTTTGTTATTTACTTAATCATCATCATCCTTATCATCTTAGTCTTTCTTTTTCTCTTTCAATTTCAACTGTGATTCTAAATAATAGTTTTCTGATTCGTTTACTGAATGTTATCGATCCCCATTCGTGGTGGGAAAAAGTTGATGAAAAGCTAAAAATAACTAATGAGATTGATAAGATTAATTATATAAGAATGCGTCTTGATAATAACCGTTAGTTTATCAATCATACAAGAATTAATTCCTTAACCTAAATATACATATATTGATTACATAGAAAAGGGAAGAAAAAAGTAAAAGGTATGATCATGAAAGAACTGAACTTGATGTATATAAATGGTGAATCAATTGAATACTAATGCTAATGAAGATTATATTAATATTGTAAACAACAAGATTCAAAGTATTTTAGTTGATTAGAATTCTTGTTTTTTCCTCTTCCATTCCTTTCATATTAACCACCCACTTCCATTTTCCCACCCATTCAACTGATTATTACAATGCCCGGTAATTTGGTAAACATAAATGTATTATCATGATGATGATGATGAGAGATCATAGTGGGAGAGATGAAGGAGCGATGATAGCTTGAAATAATCATAATAATAATCAGAATGATAATCAAGGGTTTGAAGGGTGAATAATAATCATGGTGGGTGAAGGTAAATGGTAGCTGAATATGAGGTGGAAAAAAAGTTACCAGAATTTTTATTAATTCATTTTCTGCTTGTTATCATTTGTTGTTGTTATTATTATTATTCAGCATTGGTGAAGATATTACATGGTAAATACATTGGATGATCCAATATTATCATCATCATAAATGAAATTCAACTCTTGCTGAACCAGATTAAACCGATAACCAGAGGAACCATAGTAACCTTGATGAAATTATAAATGATTATTCAAAAGAGTAGAAAGGATAAAAATTATCTTCTCTTACTTTTTTTTCATCATCATCATGATAACATTAACTATATATGAATTTGTATAACTGTATAAGCAAATGAAATGTTAGATTAAAAAAAAATAATGTTCAGTTCTGTGAGTATGAACATGTTTAGGTATGAGGTTAAAGGTAGTGTTCAGGATAGAGGAAATTATCATTTTCATGATGATAATGATGATGATCATTATTATTATTATTATCAATGGAGAAAAGGATGAAAATGGGATAACAATGAGAGAGTTGGTGGGTATTCATTGATGGAGAGATGAAGATAAGATCAGGTTGAGAATCATGAATGAAACAGTTGGAGCACAATAAGATACATAAGATAACATGTCAATGTTGATGATTGAATTCCGGTAACTGATGATCAGGATAAACATTCTGAGCTTGTAAGCATTCAAATGATTGGGAATTCTAGTTTTTCGTTGGTGAATTTAATAAAGGGAGAGAGAGAGAGAAAGGGAAACATGTATCATGAAAGACGAGAGAATGCTGGAGAAATAGAGGAAAAGTTGGAGAATCAGAACTTTTCAGTTGGATGGAATAGTTAAAACGGGGGAAAAAGTAAAGTTCGAAGAAGAAAAACTTCAAATAACATTCGAAGATGTTTGTGTAAACCAATGGACCGAAGAAGATATATGCATTTAGATGAAGAGGAAGAGGTTTGTTGTCGAAGAAGATGAAGAAAAAACTTCGTCTCTCTCTCTCTCTCTCATCGTTCTCTTTTTGATGTTGTTTTTATTTTCTGTCTATTATTCTCTCTCTGTCTATTTCTCTTTTAAAATTCTTTTTCATCATCATTATTTCCTCCTGTTTTTTGGCTCTTTCGAACTTTTTTTCTCCTCTTTCTTATCTTTCCTGAGAAATGAGGATGCAAGTGGTTTATTTAAATTGATTGATAGTCTGTTGTAGATCTTGTGTAGGAACCATATCATCATCAATCTATTGGGTTAGAACTTTTCTCTCTTTGTGACCGATCAACATGATCCATTTGAAATCTATTTTCTGCATTTGGCTTTTTATCCATCATTAGAATCACAATCAATTCACTTTCTAAATTGAAATCATCATCATTATCTTTTCTTTTATAATCACAGTTACATCTTTCTTTTTATCTTAACTGTAATACACTAATGAGAGTTCAGGTTACTTATTATTATCGTTTTTATAATCATATGCTAAGATAGTTTCCAATTGCTAATGAATATCAAATTTTACTTTAGTTTAAATTAGCATTTGGTGAATATACAAATGTAAGTGCAAAAAAAGCTTGATTTCAATACCAAAATAAGGTTTTAAATCAGGTTGTAATGTCCTTCGTTGTCGTTAATTTGATTACAGTTTGCAACATTCTAATAGTATTGGGATAACTTGAATACTGTAGTAATAATGAAATGACAATTGAAAGACAATAGGGGAAAAACAAGTAACATTGTTCACTAGTTAGTGATAAAAGTAAATGCCAATGATAATATTATGGTAAAGTGAAAAAACCAGAAGATGTTTGATTAAAATGTGTTTGATTGAAAGCGGAAAAGAGTGGAAGAGAGGGAGGAATGATGATGATAAGGATGATTGTCAATGGAAAAAAAGTTCTAAGTATTTGCAACTGTCAAGGAAACAAGAGAATTCGCTCAACGAAAGGAAAAAGAGGATAAAACGAAAGAAAGAGAAGAAAAAGTACTGAGACGAGAGAGTGAGAGAGAGAGAGAGAGAGAGAGAGAGAGAGAGAGAGAGAGAGAGAGAGATGACAGAGTGTATTACAGTAATCAGTTCGAGTATTCGAAGTAGTTTCGAAAAGTTTTTTTTTCTTTTCACTACCAATGAATGGAATCAAACGGCGTGACAGTAAACCTTTTATACCATTTAAAAGATAATACAATTTTTATCTCTCCTTATTTATCATCATCATTATCATTCTCTATCACCAATGCCTACCACTTACCTACCTCATCCTCTAAAATTCACTCTTTCATTCACTCACTATTTTACTTTCATTTACTTTACAATTTCTTTCCCCTTGTTATTTAAATGTAAACACAAAGTGACAGCAACGAGATGAAGTTTATCTTATTTTTCGTTTCCATTTCCTCTTCCCTTTCCTCGTCCTCAACCCCACTCTCTCTTTCTTTCATTCACTCATTCTCTCTTTCTCTTTCTTCACTTTCTAATTAACAATCATAATTTTAAACATGATGATTATCAACAAATATACTAAATCGTTACCTTGCTGCATCACAATCATTCAAGTTTCATCGATGACATTCAGACAAGATAGACCATCAAAATTATATTAATAAATCAACCAGGAAAAATTTGAAAATATCCCTTTAAATCTTGTAACTTGGCATTTCCTATCAATCCAAAAACATAGCAAACAATAAAATTGTCATCACCTAAGGAAATTTAATTAATCTCAAATGAATACATAGTAATACACCCTAATTATAAAACATTGTTACTAATTATGAATGCTCCGCAATTACTGCCACACCTCTTTCCCTATTATGAAATGTAAACTCAAATACTAGTCTCTACATGGGTATGTGTGCATTTGATTATATTATCAATTGTTTATAATGATGTTGATGATGTTTGCATACCCACCAAACATTGAACATTGTGCCAAAGTTTCTTGCAAAGATATATAATTATTACATCAAATTTAAATGTTAATATGCAA